TTTTAGTAGAGACGGGGTTTCACCGTGTTAGCCAGGATGGTCTCGATCTCCTGACCTCGTGATCCGCTCGTCTCGGCCTCCCAAAGTGCTGGGATTACAGGCTTGAGCCACCGCGCCCGGCCCCCAATCCACTTTTTAAAATAATGTATGTACACAGGGATTCTTCATTATACTAACAAAGTAAGTTTATAAATACATTAAAATCCACTGTGTATTTTGGACACTGAAAACAATCAGATCTTGAGCTTTGTAGCTGCCTGGCTCTTGTACTAAGTACTGTGGTCAATGTTTCCTACTATATTTTTTTCCTTCCATATGGTAAAAACTATGCTTTTAGTTTAGAAATCTAAATGTTATTACTCGTTAGCAAGTTTTCGTTCCCGATGGTGGGGCTGTGCTCTTGTGGGTGTCTCTCTCTGCCTTCAAATTGTGAGCATTTACAAAGGAAAAGGAGAAAGAATTGTAATTAGGTGGCAACATGCTCTCATTTTTATGCATGAGTTAGCCTGTAACCTTGGTTTTCATTTTTTGCTGTGTACCTGGCCAGGTTTCTACATTCTTCTAGAACTCTTTGTAGTTTTCACAAAGTCATGACCTAAACACGATACGTACCATGGTTATTGCCCCTCATCACTAAAGTTATGGGTGGATGGGCCAGACTGTGTATTCTTTTATAATGGCAAGTCTAGGATACTATTCTAGCTGATAGTGGAAGATAAAATATCTGAAATATTTTTACATTTTCTAATGAAGATAAAATTCCAAAAGGCTAAAATAACTGTCATTACAAAGAATGTCAAAGAGGAATACCTGAGAGGCCAAGGAGGGTGGATCACAAGGTCAGGAGGTCGAGACCATCCTGGCTAACATGGTGAAACCCTGTCTCTACTAAAAATGCAAAAAAATTAGCTGGGCGTGGTGGCGGACGCCTGTAGTCCCAGCTACTCAGGAGGCTGAGGCAGGAGAATGGTGTGAACCCGGGAGGTGGAGCTTGCAGTGAGCCAAAATCCTGCCACTGCACTCTAACCTGGGTGACAGAGCAAAACTCTGTCTCAAAAAATAATAATAATAAAAAATAAAACATAAAGATGAACATCTTTTCTTCATAAATAATTGACTTAGCTATCTATAAAGACACTAACTTTATATTTGTTTATTTGTCTACTTATTAATAGTTTTCCCAATGAGATAGTAAGTTCCATGAGGGCAGGGACTGTATCTGCTTTCTCACTGCATTTTTCACCTGCAGCTTAACACAGTGTCTTGGTGTTACCTAGGAATCTTTAAATAAATATTTGTTTTAAAAAATGAGTAAGTAGCATATCAAGTGTTACCATTCTCTATCATGGTAAAATCTAATTAAATAGGATATAGACATTGCTCAAAATTTTGACACCTTTATAACTTTCTCTTTAATTTCACAGGAAATATATGTATCTTTAATTTTCAGGGGATGAAAATGAACATTTATTGTGTCTGTTGTGCATTAGGCACTCAGGCACTGTACTAGATTCAATGCTTTGCAGAAACTCATATTTAAACAGTATCATATCATCTTACAATCAAGTTTTTAACACATAAATAGGTCTATTCCTACCTCTACCATTGACTATGTCACTTTGGGAATTCTTTTAATTTCATGCACAGAACTAAAAACAAAAATTTAGTAAGAAAGAATTTAATATTACTAATATAATTAACTCCTCTCTTGTGAGGAACTGTTATGGAACAAAGTTTTCCACTTTGGAGTTTTCCAGATTTACCTCTTTCAACACAAATGTTTTTCCTAAATTTCAACTATTTTAATGAAAATATTTTTAAGCATAGTATTTGTAACTGTATGGTCTCAGCCAAAATGTTTGGAGTATGAATCTATTTTTTTGGATATCTCAGATAAGGATAGTGGTAAGGATAGCAGGGTGGTTAAGACCAGAGGTTTTAGAACCAGACTATGTAGGCGGAAATTCTGGCACTACTGCTTACTAGCTGTGTGATTTTAGATAAGTTAACTTCCTTGAGTCTGTTTCCTTGTCTGTAAAATAAGCATAATACTAATATCTACATTTTAGGGCAGTCTTGAGGATCAAATGATGACATATGCAGAGTGCTTACCATACAGATGATGCGAGGCAAACAGTAAGTGCTCAATAAATGCTAGCTAAAAAAGTTTTAATTTATTAAGGTACTGAGCACTTGGGTGAGCATGCACTTTTTCTATATCACAGAAAATGACCCCAAACTGCTATTAAAAAAAATTATTCTTATATAAATTTTCTTTATAGATTTTGTTATCTATATAAAGTTTTGTTCTTCTGTTTCTTACCTTAATCTTATTTGTTAATTGATGCCTTTATAGTACCCCCTTCTTCTAATTTGAAGCTCTACTGTGGGCTGAGAAACCAAAACACTGTATTGGTTAGAAATGTGTAAGAAGATTCCTCAGCAAAGGGCCTCAGGGGTTCTTCGAAGAGCAAGGTACATAAGTCACATCTATTTCCACTTAGAGGCCTTTCTGGATTACTTATTGTGTTCTCAGTTGTGTTTGGGAAAGTTGGAAATACCAAATAAGTGACCTAGGGATTAATGAGGCACTATTGTTCTAATTCTGTCAAGCATTAGATTAATCAAAAACAAATGAAAGGTTGATTTCTTCCTGTTTTGCACTGTTAATTTTCTACAATTATTAATCAGCTACCAATGTAATTATTAAACTTTTAGTCCAAACAATGTTTTTAGTGTAATACCTGAATCAATACACAGATCCTATATTACAAACCCCATTTTAAAACTTGGGTATTACTAATTGTGCTATTATACAAAGCCCAAGCAAAATAAAATGTTTCTGTGTGATTCAACCCATAATTCTTATGTGGAGGTTATCGAGTCAATGAAAGGGAAAAAACATGAATCGTCAAAAGGGCTAAATGAAATAACAATCAATGGATAAAGTAAAAAGAGAGTAAAACAGAAATTGTTAAGCTCATGAAATCGAAATAAAAAGAAATGGAAAGATTACAGACTAACAAAGAAAAGTAAGGAAAAATTTACCAACTTTATTCCCAATCCCTAAGTGAATAAAGTGTTTCCAATTTAATGTTCAGTTTAGTAGCACCTCTACTTTTTTAACCCTACTGGGAAGGCATGAGAGAGACTCTGATAAGAAAACCATGTGCATCCGTGATGATGAAACCTTCTGCTCAGGTGGCCACATGCCGGAAGAGGCACAGTGGATCCCCATACTTAGGAAATCTAGGCCTGAGCCAGAAACTGGCAGCTATCAGGCCAAAACATTTATATTTTATGTCTTATCTTAAAAATTCATATATATTTTGCATTTCACTCTGTTACATACTATGGAATTTTGAATATAAAAATAATGTTTCTAACAACTGAATTATTTAACTCCTCTCATTCCCAAATATTCAAGTAAAATTGATGCTCCAGGAAGATTCGCACTGTGGTTCTTGTGGCTTTCCCTTCCACTTGAGCAATACCAATATAGTCAGGGGTATGTGAGAAGCACAGGTGAGATGGTATCTTATTATAATATGATGAGCTCAAGGGTCTCAAATGATCCACAGAAAACTAATAATCCAATAATCATTAAATAAAAGCTTCAATTCTCATGTAAATCAGTAAAGCTAAAAAATCCAAAAGAATGGTATAAACTAGGCCCTGAAATCTTAAAATGCCCTCTTAGCTTTTGAGCTACAGTTTTTATAAAAAGATCAATAATGATGTCTTCCTGTTCCAATATGGAATTAGTGTCTCCCTAAATACATTAACTTCAGAAGTATTGAATTACCAAGGAGGATCAGCACCACAATGAAACAAATAGTTGTTCTTTGCAAACTAGTGATTACCAGTAAAGAAAACCCACCAAAGGCTGCTGGATACAAAATGACAAAAGGCAAAGATATCAGGACAAAAGATAATAAAGTATGGTAGTCACCCAAAATCCAGAAGGATAACACTCACCCTCATCCTGATAATCTGACAAAAAGTGTGCGTCGGATGTGAGGGACAGGCCAAGAGTCCCACTGTGATTATCATCAGAGCTGTCCTGTCCAAAGTCTCCTCCTGAGGGACAAAAAAGAGAGAAAATAAGGTCAACCTTTGGACATCCTTATAAAAGGATACATCCTTGGTATGGTACTGGAAGAGATCTATGTATGATCATAAAAAAAAGAGAGATTATCTTTTACTCGATGATGAACATGGCCACTATCCATTAACATATGGGAAACAGTTAAACAAGTTCAAGAACCAACTTACCTGGATGAAAAATTTTCCACTCAAGTAACTCTGTCACTAAAACTTAGGAACTGTTAGCTTAGAGTGGGAATACCTCTTGCCACCAGAAAGAAATTTATCTATCATACTTAAAATAAAAACATAGCTATATAAATTTATATTCAGCCAGGCATGGTGGGTCACGCCTGTAATCCCAGCACTTTGGGAGGCCCAGGCAGGTGGATCACCTGAGGTCAGGAGTTCAAGATCAGCCTGGCCAATATGGTGAAACCCCATCTCCTTTTCTCAAAAATTAGCAGGGCGTGGTGGTGGGCGCCTGTAATCCCAGCTACTCAGGAGGCTAGGGCAGGAGAATCGCTTGAACCCGGGAGGTGGAGGTTGCAGTGAGCCGAGATTGTACCATTGCACTCCAGCCTGGGTGACAAGAGCAAGACTCCATCTAAAAAAGAAAAAAATTAAATTTATATTAATATATACTATGTCTCCCTGCATGACTCTATTTCAAGTGAAATAGGACTGACGCAAAGGTTTAACCTTCTATACATGATATAATATAGCAAGCTCAATAGTCTTTCTCTGAAAAGCAAGAGAGGTATAAAAATAGAGAGAACCTAGACTTTGCTGGACTGTATTCCTATTTGTTCTACAACACTAACAAAGTTTTTTCTTTGTAATTCTAGTTTACAGCCTAGGCAACTGACCTCTTAGGAATTCTAAAAGCCCTAAGAAGATAATATTTGTTCTGTAAAATGGCTTTGATAAAAGGTAATGTATATACAATACTGAATTATGCAATTAATGCTAATCTCTTTTGTGTGTTTTCAATATACATTGGATTGTATTCTGTAGAAATGGCCAATGTTATTTTGATACTTTAAAAGGTTCAGACAGAAGATGTTAGCTCATTCAGAAACCGGAAGAAAAGGCTCTGTATTGCAAATGACTTTGCTTAAAATCCCCCAAATAGAGGTACAGTCTGCTGATAAAAGGATACCGACAGCTGCTTATTTCATTTCACAAACATGAAAATAGGATTTTCAACTGAATTTAATATTATCTCAAATACTAATTTCCAAAGGAAATCACCAATGCTAATCTCAGTAAATACTGTAGAGTTTTGGCCTTGGATTTCAACTAGGGAGCTGTGAAACCAAACAACCTACATAGAATCTATATTGCCTCACTTTAAAGGTTTATTTCCTACAATTAAACTAGAAAACTAGGGAGGTTATAAAATGATAAAAAGAGAATGGCTGTAGCCTTCTCTTTCCATAAATTAGATGATCATATCTAGACTCTTCTTCAAATGCTGTATGGTAGGTAGATGTCCATAACTGAGTTGAACATCTACAAATATAGGACTTTAGAAATGAACTATAAAGTTTATTATGGAAAAGATAAATAAAAATTGTAGAAAACTCACATAATAGTCATTGGCCAAAGCCAGAAGAGTTACTCTCCTTTATTAGTTTACTTATCAGGATACAAAGTTTATAGCTATGCTTACAGCATCACTGTGTAATTTCCATAATAACCAGAAAAATTCTCAAATACTGGACTGAGGATTAAAATGCTCAAATTTTACATCATTGGAAGTCCACTAAAATTATATTACCAACACAATCTAAATGGACTGCCTGGCTAGTAACCTGAAAGTGAGCTGCAAGGTTAAATGGAATTTTTATTTTAAGCCAAATAAAAATCCTTAAAAATAAAAAAAAGTACTGGAATTGCCAAGCAAAATTTAACTTTTGTAGTATATACTGAACATTATTTATAAACATTATTTATAAACTAGTTTTCTGCTTAGTTCAAAAATGTGGCAAATCTACCATTGAAGAAAAAGAACCTAGCCAAGCCAGTAGCTCACGCCTGTAATCCCAGCACTTTGGGAGGCCAAGGCAGGTGGATGATTTGAGCCTAGGAGTTCAAGACCAGCCTGGACGACATGATGAAACTCTGTCTCTACAAAAAGTAGAAAAATTAGCCAAGCATGGTGGCTTGTGCCTGTGGTCCCAGCTACTTGAGAGGCTGAGATGGGGGGATTGTTTGAGCCAAGGAGGTAAAAGCTACAGTGAGCCATGACTATGCCACTGCACTCCAACCTAGACAACAGAGTGAGCCCTGTCTCTTAAAAAAAAAAAAAAAAGAAAAGAAAAGAAAAGAAAAAAGAAAAAAGTACATGCTCGCATTCTAAGCTTTTTTAAAAAACATGTATATCAGGAAGGGCTTTTTCTTTTTTTTTTTAGTGAACTTTTTATTTTGGAATAATTTTAGATTTATGTAAGTTTTGCAAAGATAGTACAGAGTTCCTACACACCCTTCCCCCAGTTTCCCCCAATGTCAACTTCTTACATAATTGAGGTCTATCTGCCAAAACCAATAAATTAACATTGGTATATTGCTATTAACTAAACTGCAGACTCTATTTGGATTTCACAAGTTTTCCATTAATGTCCTTTTTCTGTTTTAGGATCCAATCCAGGGTATCACATTGCCTTCACAGCCTCAGTTTTTAAAGTCTTACCCAAAACACCTGCCTGGGTTTGGCACTTGCTTTCCTAACTTCTGATGGAAAAGTCACTTCCACATGATTCCTATGGTTTCTGAGTATAGTCACCCAAGGTGTGCTTTCAACAGCCACCCCTGGTGTCAAACACGAGACAGTTCCTCTGTAAAGTACCCAACGACAAAGATATACAACTCAATGCAGCAAAACAGAGCCTAGGTCAGTAGTACAAATGGTTGTGGTGCAGGAACATTTAGAAATAAGCTTTACACCCAAGTGCAATTAGTTCCTGATGATGGAGATGTTATTATAAGTGTTCTTAGTGTCATATCAAGTGACCCAGTTCCCTTGGGCACACACAGAAACAAGGCTATAGCACCATATAAATAGACACTCCCGTGTAATTGAAATGATTACAACTACTGAGGATGCATGGGTGAAAAGTTTTATAGAAGAACAGCAATTACTGTGGTCATTTTGGATTTGTTTAAGTTTAAGAACACCATTTTTCTTTAAAACATAACCGTACGTGTTCTCTGGATTTGTCTATAGCTCTGACAATTGCAGTTCCAAATGGCCACAACTGTAGTCCAGTGGGATCAGACATAAATGATCACAAACTATAGTGACAGACATTTCCACTCAGCAGCTCTACAATTAGGGCTTAGAACTCCATCTGCTTAGAGTGGCTTTCTCACAAGCAAGACCCTTTGCCACTGGAGACACACTTTCCCTCTGCAACTCCAGCAGAATCAATATATTTCTATACAGATATATATTTTAACACACCATATCTCCATTAATCACATCCATTACCTTCAGTCCTTTCTCTTTGTATTTCTAAACAAGATCTGGTGGAACTATATCAAGGGTTCACCTGCTATTAGCAGGTAATTTGCTCCTATAGCCTAAGTGTCATAAGAATCGGGCATTAGATACACTCCTTGGCATATTCAGTGGCAGGTCCTCCACCAAGTACGTGCTGAGGGGCCCATAAGCGGGATGATTTCTCTATTCTTTTTTTCCGAGAGTCAAACTCAATTTCATTCATGCTCTACAGAGTGATAAGTTGGGAATTTCTGAGGGTTGGAGCAGAAAGATAAAGCAGCTTTGTGTCAGGTGTAAGGTAATTATTTCCTAGGGTTTCCATGCTATTTGTTTTTATTCCCTGTGTTTTCATTAACAGTTAATGAGCTTTCCCCCTTAATTCTGAAACAATAGGCTTGGCCACTAGAAGTTGGCTTTTTCTGCCACAGATTCAACCAGCTGTTGCTGCTCCATAAACTTTATGGAGAAGTGAATTAAACTGCTAAAACTTTCATTTACTAATTCAATTCCAAATAAAACAGGGAGAAAAATGAACCATGATGATGTTCCCCTTGTAACTATTTTAGTTCACAGCAAATCCGTTTAGTCCTGAATTTGCAGGTACTATTTTGAGACAAAAACAGGCCATAATGACAATTTTACCAGATAAATGAGAAAGAAATGAAAAAAGACAGAAAATGGTTTAAGCATTAAAAAAAGTGAGAAAATAACAAATAACAGAGAAAACATATAAGTTTGCTTATTCAATATGTAAAGGCTCGATTTTTTATGTTAGTCTACGTCATCATCTTTTATGTCTCTTCAAATTAATTGTGAGTTATATTATAAAAACTCTACTCATATTTGCAACCAACTGTTTATATGGCGCGGTTAAAAACTAGGGTTTGCAGCCGGGCGTCGTGGCTCATGCCTGTAATCCTAGCACTTTGGGAGGCCGAGGCAGGCAGATCACCTGAGTTCAGGGTTTGAGACCAGCCTGACCAACATGGAAAACCCTGTCTCTACTAAAAATACAAAAAATTAGCTGGGAGTGGTGGCACATGCCTGTAATCCCAGCTACTCGGGAGGCTGAGGCAGGAGAATCGCTTGAACCCGGGAGGCAGAGGTTGCGGTGAGCCGAAATTGTGCCATTGCACTCCAGCCTGGGCAACAAGAGCGAAACTCCATCTCAAAAAAAAAGAATGACAACAACAAAAAACACTAGGGTTTGCTATTACTTCACCAAGTATCTCTGGATTATATAAGGAAATTGAGATTAATTTAAAATTGAAAAATTTAAAATTATTGTTGTTGTTGGAAGGGAACACATGACTTCCTATTCTATTTAATATTTAAGATCCTGTAAGAAATACAGCTCCCTCCTTAAACTAATAAATTCTCACTAAAATGCTATAAATGAGGCTCCCTGATCCAAGTCCAGTTAGTTTTCATGCTTGATAGCATTAATACTGCCAGATTTTCATGGGCCAATTTAATAGTAATGCAGCTC